TCAATTCTTTGAAGGCCGTGAGTTGTATCTCAGCCGCACCTGCCAAGTCTTGCATGTTTACAATGTAGTCCGCTCTTGGATCAGGTTTGATATATTGACCTCGGCCCCCTTTCTGCCAAGGTTCAGCTATGGATCAGGGGAGTGGAGAGATGGTGCAGTGCCTGGCCTATATTCAATTGGGCTGGGAGGTTCATGAAAGGGGGTGGCAAGTACTGGGTCAAGAGTCAAGTGTTTCTCTGGGTTGTACTCCCCTAACATGCGTAACATGTCCAGTCCCGTTCCATCCATCCCAGGAGGCGCAAGAATGCCTATCTGATCCCGAGGGGCGATGGATGAGCTTCAGCATCAAGAACGAGGACCTTGTCATTCTTGAGAAGAAAAACCTGCCGGGTCACATCGCAAAGCTCGACAACCTTGAAACACCAGTTACCATTCAATCTCTGGTGTGCGATCTCCAAGATGCAGGGGAAGTGACTCTTCTAATCCAAATCTCTTTCTCAGGATCACCCTAACCCACTGGAGAAAAACACTAACTACAAATTACCCCCAAATCCGATTCCGGGCCATCTAAGGTGAAGGTGGAATTGTCCCACCACAAGCTGCAAGATGCTGACTGGGTCGGCGCTAAGCCCCTGGTGTTCATGCTAGATGCCCCACAGGAAGCGCTACCAGAGAAAAAGAAGAAAACCAAGGGGGGCAAAAATAAGGCTGGTGTTCAGATCAGCCCCAAGAATTTTGGATCCTGGATGAGTATCACGAAAGTGAAGTCCAGCCATGAGACATTGAAGCTTGCTTGGCGTTGCCGGTTGCTTGTCTGTCACCACTATATACAAGAGAGCATGGAATGATTCAAAAAAGGATGCAACACGTGAGGTCTCCAGGTATTTGGTTAGCATTGAACCACGGCCTTCTACAATGCACCTTGGCCCAGGCTCGATTGCAGCAGTGGTGATGGAACCAAAGTCATCACTCCGATTCGCCCGGTGGCCGTGCTTGGCCACCCTTTGGACGTAAATGAGGAAACAGTTCGCATCATGTGACCATGATCTCCACCATGTTTGCAAGTGCTCCTTTCCAAGCTTCACCTCTGTAATTGCCAAGCTTCAGCTCTGTTTGGGGGAGATCAGGGGAGATCTGGCTTCGCAATTTTGCACAGAAACGGGGTACCAATCAAAGCTCAGGATCCTAGTGTATGTTTGGGGGCCGTTTTGACACAGCCATGTCCTCAACACCATACCCCTAAAACTGACAAAACATACAAAGAAGAAAACCCGCAGGATTCTGAGCTCATATCCTAGCTTCCCTGCTCAGACCAACCGGCTCGTGGACAAATAAAGATCGCATCCATATGTTTTTTCCAACAGCGGAGTCTTTGGAAGAATTCTGAAGTGTGTTTCATTGTATATATTGGGGCAAGTTCCAATTTCAGCTCCATCATGCTCCATCCAGTGGACTGTCTGAAGCATTTTGTGGATCACCTTTTGTCCCGTCGGGGTGCTTGTGGCAGCTGTCCTTTCCTGGGATGAGGGCATCAAAGCATGCAGATGGGGAAACCGACAACGACAGTGTCGAAGAGGTTCCATTGACTACCACCTTCCGGCCCCCTGTACCTCTTCTGAAATTATACCAGTTCAAAAGACTCTGCAATATGTGATCCTACTTACGTTTCTAAAGCCATAAATGTTTAGCTCCGTGCTGATGAGGCCTTCAACATGCAGAGGCTGCTCTCCCCATCGGCAAGTGGGGTGGCATCATCCTTTACCCCTCCACGAATTCCATCAGCTGTTGTGCCTGCATCTGCAGCAAAGACTGCAGTGAGACCTCCGGTCACAGGTGGCAACGAAGGCGCAGAATTGGTTCTTCCTTAGGGTTTCTAATGGTTAGTGTTCCAACCAATGACCTGAGAGTTCTTTTTTCAAAAGATGTTCCAAACATGACCCTTAAGAATATATTTTTTCGTATCGTGGGAGGCTTCCAGTTGGCTCACCATGCTCTTCCTGCCCGAGTTAATGCTTCGGATTCATCATCAGCTGAGCAACCAAACACATTCAAAAAGCCAGCTCGCAAGCTAAGGGCTGAAATGGAGGAATCCTCTGAACATTGCCCTCTTGGGGGAAACTCCCATGACGATGATGAGGATGAGGGGCCTTCTGGTGGGATTGATGAATCCGACGAGGATGGGAATGGGATCCCCAAAGATTTGCAGGTTCGTAAGAGGCCAGCCACTCGTGGTGCCGCCGCTTCGAAGAAGAAACCATCAACCAAGCGAGGGCGCAAGCAGGAGGCCGATAGAGCAAATGAAAAACAGTAACAATATGCAATGACAACTTCAAACATGTTCTTTAAACAACTAAAAAACAATTGCCGCATTTGCCCAGAATGGTGGTTTTGATGCTGCATCAGCGGAGGCTAATCTGAATGATGCCGCGTAACTTGGTTATTCTTGAAAAAGATTGGATGTGCACGAAAATGGAAAACAATGAAATCAAATGAAACCAACCTCATTACCTTGACCTTTGCTTCCACCAACCAAGACCTGACACGATGCTTGACCCGCTCGGATATGATACACTTCTCGAGCAGTGCCCAAACAACCAGCTGGGCCTGAGCCCTCAATCCGAACCTTGAAAGATAACTCTGTCTGTGACTGTTGGGGTATCCGGGATGTTGCTAACAGCTTGCCTACCCGACACCGGCAGCTCAGGAAGGCCTCCTACTGACAGCTGGGCGTCTTGATGCCGTGGAAGTTCATGATGGCCATGCGGCTGCGGCTGCTCCTCGGATGCAAGATGTTGACAAATATATAATATGCAAGAACTGAGGACACTTGTTATGTATTATGTTTGTCGCCTTCTTTAGGGGGACAGACTTGAATTGTGATTTCTGGACAAGGACACTTTGATGGTTCCAGCCCCCACGATTGAGGCTGGGCACTGGTGGCGAATTGGGTAATTGTTGGAATACCACTCCACTTCTAATTCGAGCTTCTCTCTTCATCAATCTCCAGTGAAACTGCTATTATCATCGTCACATGCAGATACATAATATACACCGCGTTCATCACTTATTTTTGGTAGTCATCGCCTACTTTTCTCTGATATGTTTCAGTTTCATGACACCCCAACACCCAAGCATCCTCAACTGCTCCCTATGGAGGCTTTGCATGATGAGCCCGCGGACATGACGGATGAGCAGTGTATGAGGTTCCTGCAACAACATCAAGCTTCCACGGAGGAGGATCTGGGGCTTGCTTGTCGTCTCATGCATGAGAATGGGTGGGTTACTGCTGAGATGGTCCAAGCTACCTGTGACGCTATTGGCAAAGCATTGAACCAAATCGATGGGTTTTTGCAAGCCAACAACCAGACTCACGACCAGGAGGATACCTACCGCTATGAAGAGGGTATGGATGGTGGAACCACCGCCGCTGGTGAGGATACCACTGCTGCTGAAGCCAACGGTGAGAACAAAGAAGAGATCACGGCTGAAGCCGAAAGTGAGAAGAAAGAAGAGATCGCGGCTGAAGGTGATGAGAAGAAAGAAGAGATCGCGGCTGAAGCCAATGAGAAGAAGGAAGAGATCGCGGCTGAAGCCAATGAGAAGAAGGAAGAGATCGCGGCTGAAGCCAATGAGAAGAAGGAAGAGATCCCGGCTGAAGGTAATGAGAAGAAAGAAGAGATCCCGGCTGAAGCCAATGAGAAGAAGGAAGGGA